AGTTAATTTTTTTTCTGTTTATAAATTTTAGGAAAAGTCGATAAGTTGGTCCAATCAAAAGTTATTCTAGGCAGAATTGGGGAAAATATGATTTTTTTTAATTATGAAAATTTCAAAATGCTGCCATTTCTAAATTTATTTAACTTATTGACTACTTTAGCTCATCTTCGCATAAATATACATGTATATAAATAAATTAGTACATAAAATTTTTTAATAGTTAAGGACATGAGGATAAACGCAATAATTAGATTTCTATGAAGTTTACTAAAAAAAGGAAATACTTCTTGTAGTACAAAAAAAAAATCAAACTTTGTGTGTGACGGTTTGATAATTTATTTTATTCCGTGATAATTCGTAGGAAAGAATGATTGTGAATCAGCAGATATTAATTAATATTTCATTAAAAGAAAGTGAATAAAATATAAATAAATAAAAAATTAAAAAATGTACGTTTAGAAAATCGAAAAATCTGCATATGCATTATTTAAAAATTATAATTTTTTAATTATTTCTTTATTTATTAATAATTAAATAAATTTCCTTTTATCTTCTACATTCACACTCATCAGAAAGATTTTATTCTTTGACACGAAAAATCTCAAAGAATATTAATAAATAAATATAGAGATTTTTAAAAAAAACAATTTAAACTTCAATTAATTAATTAACTTTTTTTTTTTTAAATATAGATGCAAATTGTTTGGTTCATTAATTCGAAGTTAGCTGGCGACTAGTTCGTAGCCACAAAGTCTCGATAAATCATTGAGATAAAATCAGCGGTAACTTTTTATTATGAGTAACTATTATATGAGTAGAGTATGGGAATATAAATATGAGTTGAGCTATTGGGTAGCGTAGAATAGAGTACATAACAGAGCGTATTATATTAGAGAGCGTTGCGAAGAAAGAAATACAAATAATGTAATATAAAGGCACGTGTGACTGAGTACTTCTACTTCTGCTGTACAGTTCTGCAAGACATGAGTTAAGACTAATATAAGTGGAGTCAAACAAAAAACTGGGAAAGAAGATGGAAAAGTATGGCTACATATAAATAATAAATGGTGGGAAGGTTGGTGGAATCAAAGAGAAAATTGCAAGAGAGATAAATTTATATGAGGTGAGAGACAAGAGCACCTGCTACTGCTGGCCAACTGTCTTCCAGATGTCCCGATTATGCAACAAATTACATTTATCTTAACTTTTTTCGTCATTCCATAAAATCTCGAGTGCACATGGTATTATAAATATATGTATGTCTATAAAGTTGACTAAAAAAAGGTGGGTTTATGTTTTTACACTGATAGAAGGATTTGTTAATATTTAATAAGCTTTATTAACAGATAATAAATTATTTATTAAATACAATTTATTAAATATTAATATATATTTGTTAACAGTTAACAAATATTTATTTAGGATAAAAAGCAAAAATAGCAATTTTCTTTTGACACTTTTTAAAACTCTATAACTGGAATACATGATAATAATTCAATTCACTTAATAAATTAACGATTTTGATATTTAAAAATATAAAAGATAATTATAAGCTGTTATAGAATTTGGTAGTTTACAATAAATGTTATTATAATGTAACATAATTAATGCAAATAATTTATAAAGATGATTTTTGTTTATAAGCAACCTTCATATCATATGACATGCATTGCAAGCCAAACAAATTCACTCAACAAAATATTTATTAACAGTTAATAAATATTTTTTAACTATTAATAAATATTTATTAAATATTAATAAATGTACTTTTCTCCCAAATAAATATTTATTTAATGTTAAAAAATATTTATTAAAATTTAATAAATTAAATTATTATCTTCAAATAAATCAAATTATTAATAGTTAATAAATCCTTCTATCAGTGTATGAAATTTATTGAAAGCGGCAGATAAAAATATTAATTTGTAAAATATGGTGACCTAAATAAAGCCTAAATCTAAATTTATATTACAGAGTCCAGTATTTAAAAAAGATCGAAATGCCGGCTTGAGTTTAGACCGAGAATAGAAGTACAAAAAAAGGAGTTATATATTAACCCGCACCGGAGTTGTTTTTAAAATAAGTAATTTAAATTATAAACTCTTTTATTTATGTTTTTTTTAGTAGCTCCCTAAATTTAGGATCTGGCATTTGACCTCTTACATTATGCTTAAGAGAGTTTTTGAGGAAAAAAATCCATGGAGGCAATAAAATATATACTACCATACCAATATCATTAAAAAATCCAAAAGTAAGAGTGAAGTAAAAAAGAGAAGGAATATGGGATATGGTGATGTGATGACTAATAACTTATGCATCTCCGTACACTTTCAAAGCCAGAGAGTGATCAGAGATGAGCGAATCGATGTTTCACTTCTGGGTGGGCAGTCTCCAGTATCCAGTACTACTATATCCATGTTTTATGGTTCTCATCTCTCTTGTATTGTAAATATATTATATATTACATCTACATGGATTTATTTATATGTAATGCAACGTATGTGGCCTGAGGCATCTTAACAAACGGATTGATAAGGCCGCCTTCTCATCACCGTACACTGAATGGGAAATTACGCAGAGCTTTAATGTGTGTATTATAATTTATAAATAAATGAAAGTGTATTTTTGCTCTGGAAGGAGGCTCGAGTTGAGTTAAACTTAAGCCACTGACTAAAAACTACAAACAGAGATTAACTCAAGCTGATCTCCGAGTAAACACGATACGAGTGGGTTCGATCCCCAATACACAACCAATCGGCAGATCTTCCCTGCTCAGTCCGGTCTCTGTACCCAAGAGTTTGCGGGGTGGAGCAAAAAACTAAAATAAAAGGAAAGGACTAGAAAGAAAAAATAAAAATAGTCGATACAAGAGAATATTTGAGATTCCAAAGTTGACCAAGCGTAAGCTAAGTGAGGAGAAGAGAAAGAAGAATAGAATAAAAGTCTCACGGATAAAATTGGTTACATGTTGATGGTGGATCTTAGCTTGGATTGGAACATTTAAGATGTATAGAAAGGAAGCGTGAAGCATGTGAGGGTGATTAAGCTGACGAGATCGCCGTCTCATTTCTTGCGTCTTATGTTTAATTTGATCGTATAGAATTAAAGGCCTCAGAGTAGAGTATCCTTTGGTCTTTGGTCTTATGTTAATACTAGGACCTGGTTACAAACACATCTTGTGTATGTCTAAGTGAGACACGATCCTTCCTTTTATTCCTTGGAGTTGTATTGGGACTTCCTGGAATTCTGCGGGAGAACAAAGAGACGGATCTTAAGAGCTACGGACTTTAACACTTTTGTGTTTTCTATCACTGGTTATTTTTGATAATACCTTCTCTGGCTTTCTCTATTGCTTTTTATACGCAATTATTTATCCTGTGATCCAAGAATGCTTAGCTTCTTGTGTAGATACTTTTTACTCAAGTAGACGGAAGATCTCGTTACGGATGTAGTCATTGAAGATCCTATTAAAGAATACCGAAAACCGAGAACTGACATTTGTATTGAATTCCGAAAGAGACACCAGCCGTGTAATTGATCTTGATTTTAATTTATTTCACGCGGTTCTTTTACTCAAGAATAAATTCTGAAGTAGGAAGCTGTCAAATGTTTCTGAGTTGTAAACTTATCACTTCAATTGAATAAACTAACAAATTTTTGAGATTTTAGTTTTTAAACTAAAAATACAAATCATTGGAATTTTTTTGTTGCTTTAGTTTATGAAAATACATTAGTATACTTTTGTTAAATATAAAACAGATAAACCCGCATGAAAAAGCTCTATATCCGTCATCATATACAAAAAATTATATTTTACATACATAAAAATATATATGTAATTATATAAGGACCCATATGCAAAATTTTTCCGTTTCATATATACAATAATAATATATGTAGTATTATGTATTGATGTTATACTCATAACATATATTTCAATTATATTTTCAGCTATATATGATTAAATATATCGTACATATTATAATCAACACTATTTATTATAAATAGTATAAGAACAATGTATTTTTCAGTATAATTTAAAATATACTTTAAATTATATGTTCAATATAATTTTAATCTTGGCATTGGTACCAAAATTACAATAGAATGCTGAAGCCAAATAATTCTCTGAAAAAAAAAGTTATAAAAAAAAGAAAATATTTCGTGATGTGTTACTAATTTACTGAAATTCAGATTTGCTTCGACTGTAAACTCGATTGATCAAGTTGCTCTTGAAAAATAAGATATATGACAAACTATTAATTTTTTTTTTTTTTATTAATCTTTCCGTTTTAAGCTATTTCGACATATCATAAATATCTGGTATTATGTATGGTACTTTACAATAAAATAATATATATTGCCATATAATTGAAATTTTATAAATGAAAGTATACAGTAATAATCTATCTCAACATATATTTTACGAAAAATATATTTATCTATTATATAGTTTTCTATATAAGTAATTTTTATATAATAATAGTATATTTCATAACATATACTAAGTAATACGGCATTAATATATTTGAGCTTATATTGAATCAAATATATCTTCATTATATTAACAAAACATTTATTATTTCATGTATATATATATAATTTTAGCGCTATATATGATCACATATTCCCCATAAATAGATTTTTCATGCGGGAATCCTTTTTTATCTTGAAACTAAAGACCTGACCCACATTTAATTGTAAAACGAGATTTTTTATCGACTCTAATTTAAACGCGATATTTTTTATGAATAATTCTTGAATAAATAATGTTAAGCCTTCAGATCATTTCAACGTAAACACTAATTTGGGTGTTGGGTTAATGATTTCAGGATCTAGAGACTACTATACGTGGCTATTGAAAGTAATTTACGATGAACACGGGCTTGATAAATTTAAATGAAGCGTCTAGATAATTAATGGCTTTTAAATTATTTCTAGTTGATCGGAATGAACAGAAGAGGCTGAGGATGAGATACGGATAGAAAAATAGCAACATAATGTGCTATGTGATTGTTACTGGCCGCAGTCTACTGTGGTCCCTACTGTCTTTGGTTGCTTTGATGGCCGTATTTTCGGCTCTCATAACACCAAAGTGGATCGTTGGACCTCCAAAGACTAAAGATACTCGTAAGTTATTTTTAAAAACAAGGTAATATTAATTAACTTATTGATTAATTATTTTTTTTCAGAAAATGGTACTGAATTGTATACACCAACAGCGGGAATTTTTAATCGATGCACAATGCTCTTCAATAGAATGCATTGTGCTAATTTCAACATCGATGGTCTTGCAACAGATTCCAATGTCTTTCCAGGCTGCTGGAAAGCTTCGCTGTTTTTCCTTGCTCTAGGCTTGTCAGTAATGGCTCTGACAGTGTTTGCAGCTTTGCTTGGATGCTGTGTTCAGAGTATTGGTCGCAAAAGTATTTTTAATCTCGCCGGAGTTGCGCAGGCTATTGCTGGTAATTTATGAATTTATTTATTTCACAAAAACTATCATTTTAATAATATGACATTAAAGTTAGCTATCACTTAACAATTTTTTAATTTTATTTAACAAAAAAATTTTTTCCAAAAAATTATTTTTAAAAAATTGCATTTTTTATTTTTTAAAATTTCTAAATGTCAATTTTTTTTTTCTTATTTTTTTGGGCCATAATTTATTTGTTATAAAATTTTTTTAATTAAATTAAATATGTGCTACATTAATTTTCATTTAATAATTATTAACTTGTTGATAAATTTTAATTCTTTAAAACAGGAATTCTTTACTTGATGGGTATGATTTTGTACCCCGCTGGTTGGGGTGCGCCTAGAGTTAGACGTATATGTGGTGATGCTTCGCCTTTTTATCTGGGAGACTGCACTTTAGGTAGTTCATCATTTTAAATTAGATCAATCGAATTATTTAGTGATTTATGTATGTAATTATTTATTTGTAATTGTTTAAAGGTTGGGCATTTTATAGTGCAGCGATTGGAGTTGCTTTAACATTCGTTTGTGCAATTTTAAGTGCACAGGCTGAGAAATCCACTGCCAGTGACAAGGTTCAGGATAAAATGAATGAAGGCAAAACATTAATTTGTCTCGCATAAAAGTTCGATGACAAATGGTCAAGATAAAAATAAATCGTCCCTATAAAAATTAATAAAATGCCATTGTGATGATGCCGAGAAAGTAAATATCTGTAATATACAAAAGATTAAATAACTATTATGATTATAAATGACAAAGAGAATTCAGAAGTTATAATAATTGTGTCATTGAATATCAATGAATAGCTTTTCATTGCTTATTATGGCCTTTAAGAGGTAGACTGTAATCATTGCATTTTTTGACTATATCAAAGTTTTCTGAGATACTGATCAATACAAACAATTTACTTAATTAACATAAAATGAAACAAAGATCTGATAAATTACTTAATTCATGTACTTGTTCTTAGTTACTTATCGTTAAGTATTAATTTTAATTATATTTTGTATAAAACATTTGTAAGAATTATTCAAGTCATTGAAATGGAAAAACTCATGATAAAAAATTTTAATATACTCAAAATAAAAACTTCATTATTTTATATCCCTAAATACTTTTTGGAATTAATTAGATTATATTAAGTTATTAGATTATTGCGAACTACAATAAATTAAACACCTGTATTAATAAAGCTTAGTGATAAAATACAATATACATACGATTATTTCGCATAAAATTTTAATAGTTTAAAAATTTAATTTTTAGGATTTATGAGAAATATTAAATGAGACATAAAAGACATGAAAAAAAATTCGAAGATTCGCGTTTATTTGTTTTCAGAATATAAATTACTACTTGAATCAATAATACAATAATAGTAATAATAATAATAATTAAAAATAGTAATTAAATTTTACTTTATATAAATAAAATAAATCTAAATTTACATCATAATATAACATTTTTTTCTCTTTTGCATTTTTAATATTGAATTTTCGCATTGCTAATTAATTTCTATTTAATTCTCATTCATACAAATAAAACTCATACATTCATCGTCTGCACAAATTGATTGTATATACAGATTAATTTATGTCATGAAGAGCTCTTACTACCGATTTTTCAATATACATATCCATAATTCGGTTCTACTACTTTTTAATAAATTCTTCAAAAAAGCACACTATTAACATAATTATTATTGACTTTAATTTACAAAAACATATTACAATTCATTTAATTTTATTCGTTTATCTGATAAAAAAGTGTATTACGATTAACAGTTACGCCGTAGGGTAATAACCTAATTATTATATTTAAGAGTATTGATTAGGTGATATATTTGGTACAAATCGATAGGCGGCTCATGAGTAAAATTTAATCAAAAAAATGGAAAAAAAAAAAAAAAAAAAATAATTTTAATCATCGTAACAATAATTTGATTCACTCATTCAGCTAATTTTTTTGTGAATTCCACACTATTTTATTATTATTTTACTTAATCTATTATCACTGATTATTATATTCAATAAAAAAAACCGACCACAAAGATACTTTTTTGCCATTAAATGTCAGTAACAAAAAAAAAGTTTTTTTTTCTATAAAATAAATAAATTGTGATCGTTTTTGACTTTAATTTTTTTATTTTTATATAAAAGTGATAATAAGCTTTAGCTCATCAGTGCAACAAGCAAAAATTGCGGCTTATGAAACCGCACCAAATAATTATTTACATGCAATAATTTTTTTTACATTTCATTATAAATTCATAAATATATTTATTAATACAACGTTGATTACTAAGTTAGTCGATTTTGAATTCATCAATATATATAAATCAAAAAGGCGTATAATTTATTTGAAATTACCGATTTTTAGGTCATTATGTCTAAGCTATAAAAACGATTCTGTAAATTAAAATGACTTTCTATGTACTCTTATAAATAATATGAACAACTTACTAATTAATTCTTGCTTAAAGGAAACACAAAAAGAATTACTAATAAATATATTTAATCGGAATCTTTGATTTAACAACATATAACGCGGCTATTAATTTATGACTTTCTTTTGTGTACATTTTTATCGGTAAAATTTTTATTTTAATATTAGTCTGAACTTTTAATGCAAATGAGATATTTTTAGACTTTAACATTAAATGATTAGTTACACAGCAACATTTATCGAGATTATTTGACTATATTGCTGGGTACACGATCGTTTACAAACAACCGGCTGTTATGTTTTAGGTGCAAAAATTTCAACAGATTGTTGGTTTTGAGTTTTCATAGACTTTCTACGGTCTTCCATCATTTGACGACGTGCTTGTTCACGTGCTTCACGTGCTTTACGATTAGCCTCACTCGTTGCTGTTGCTTTTGGTTTTTGATTTATAACACGACGTTTCGCATTATTGCCGTTTTGTTGTGTGCGTGCTACTGCTGTTTTTTCAACAGCAACCTGAAAAAATTAACAGTCAATCAATCAACCAATAAACAAATTAACACAATTCCAATGAATGATCATTTTTTTATTACAAAATAAAATTTTTAAACCACAGTCTTGACTTTAAGCTACAAATATTCGGGATGTAAGTTTTAAAATAGCCAAAATAAAACTAAGCATTACATAAACATAAAAGTACAATGATAATTGACAATAACTTTTGCTTGATTTAAAAAATTCATATTTTATGTTGACTTTTAAACAATTTAATAAATTATTCTTGACCGAATTCTTGCTTTTAAATATCTTAAACGGGGAAATATTATGTTTTAATTCATTACAACGATGAACAAATTTAAATGCGTTTAAAAGTTTAAATAAATTAAATTCGAATTCATTTGGCAATTTTTTATATTGATCAAGTTGACGCGTTGTAATAAAATTAAAAGAATCATTTTTATGAGTGATTTTAGGAAAGTAAGGATGATAAGTTGGACGGAAAAAGATAATATATTCCACAGCGAAGACGCGATTAATTTTACCAGCGCTTATTTTATCTCGTTTTACTGTTTTTCTATTTATTTCAATTGTTGTTGATCCATCTGGGGTTTTCATTGAGCTTTTTTTTCGTTTACGGAGTAATTTTTTTCGTTGCTGGTCGTATCTCTTCATACGATCTAATTTACTATTTAGTGTCACAGTAGTATTTTTTTCTATAGTTGTTATTTTTTCACGATTGACAAAATTAATGCTGTTGATAATTTCTTTTGAAAATGGAATAAAAGGTTGAGAGTCACTTTGAGACCAAAAGAGACTCTGTTCATCGTCTACGATACTTTTTTTCTGCTCAATTGGTGCCCACAGTGAATAATTGGTGGCTTCTTCTGACGATAATAATGATTTATCTTCTACAATTATACTCATTCCAACAGATGATGCTTTTATTTTTGTATAATCTCTATTATTTATCTCAACGTCTGTTACTTTTATGTCTTTCAATTTTTTTTTCGATAGATTTATAACTTCTGGACAAATTAATTTTTTATGAGACATTTTAGAAGCTTGCTTCAATTTTAAAATACTGTCTCTTGTTAATTTTAATGATGGAGTACTTTTATTAATATTTTTAAAATTTTCTGGCTTTTTATTACTAGAATTTCTTTCAAAATTTTTTTTTAAATTACTCAACTCATCTGATTCAGACAAAATAATAGAATTTACTATTTCTTCACTTAAAAATGATTTATGAGAATTAATTTCCGATGTTTTGTTACCAAAAGAAATTTTTTTTATTTCATGAGACTTTTCATCTGATTTTTCTAATACTTTAGGTGACTTAAAAATCATTTTACCATGCTTGATAGTATTTATCGCTCGTGGAATACCACTTTTTGGTTTCGAAATCGGTCGATTTGGTTTGGAGACTGATTGAGGTGATTTTGGAATTTGTTGGAAGGGTTTCTCAACATTTGGAGATAACTTAGGACCATGAATTGGATGATTTGACTGGATAGGCTTCGAACTAAGACCAGGAACATTTACAGGTGAACGTGAACATACCTCTTGCCACTGAGAGTTTCGTAGTTTGTCTAAATGCTCAAATATATCGTTGACTTGGACAACTTGAAGCATCACCATATCCCAAAAACCTGCTAGATCTTCATTTGTGGTCGGGAACACTTCACCAGGTATTTGAGTCTACATTGAGATAAAAAAAAAATAAATAAAAATTATTTTCTAGTAATTTGATTTAATAAATCAAGAAATATTGAAGATACTTACAATATTTTTTTGACAAAGTCCCTCGAACTGCTGCATTTTTTGGGTAGCTAATAAACGAGCTTTACCTGCTGCAGATCTTAATTTACCTGCGGCTTCTTCTGGCAACGATTCCACATTTGCTAGTTCAGCTTCAGCAGACGCAGCCAATTTAAACAGTCTATCGATTTCAGCTTTCAATAACTATAAAAAAATATAAATATTACTTATAAAATAACAAATTTGTAATGAGTTATGGAGTTGAATAAAAATGGCTAAAAATGAATAATTCATTCAAATTTAAAATTATTCTTACTTTCATAAAATAATGACCGTCTTTTACTTCAACGGCATTATCTTCCTGAGTCGCTTTTGGCAATTCAGCAAGACTAGTTGAACTAACGCTTGTCTCAAGAACAGGTAACACAACTTCCGGCGCCGCTGGCTGTTGATCTGTAATACTCGTCATACTAGGACTTAATTTCAACGAATCATTCTCATGATTTTTATTAGCTGTTAGTTGCGTAGTTGTAATAACATTCGCCACATTATTAGCAGCTGTAACATTAGCAACGGCAGCAGCCGCAGTTTGAGTAACCGTAGCGACAGGTACTTTCACTACAACCGTAACATCATTTTTCCTAGATGAAACAGATATCCTTTGCATTGGCTTCACGATCTGTTCACTTCCATCAGTGGGTCTACGGGGACTCACAACTGGTAATTGTGCTCGAAACTCCGGTCGCAAGTGACGTAAAACAGGTAAATTTTTTAATGACTCTTCATTGTTAGCATTATCCAAACTCAAATCATTATTATTAATGTTACTGCTATTATTGAGCGATGATTTGTTATTAAAACTATTGTCGCTGTTTTGAGATTGATTAGAACGTCTAAAAAAACCCTGAGCCAGAGCACCCGGACCATAAAGTCTTTCAACACGTTGCTGAATAAAAGACTTTTCGCTGCTCGATGACAAATTTAGAGTTTGACTTTCTATCTCTATAGAGGATCCATTCAAAAAACTGTCTTCGGCGCAAGATATATTCGATAAATTTGTGTTATTCATTCCACGGGGTGATGATGCGTATGACGAGTTTGGCGAATATGATTTGTTAGCTTTATTATTAACAACAGTTGTTGTTGTTAATGTTGTTGTTGTTTTCTTATTTCCGACGCTGAGAATTGGACTAACATCCGGAAAATTTGGATGCAAAGAAACCCCACGGTCTACTTCCGAGTAACCTTGGAAGACATTTAATGTGCTTCGCGACTCCACAAATGTCTCTATTTTGCACTCTTTGCCATTTGTAAATCCGTTTTGACGATCCATTGCTAATGGTGATATTGATTGACTTTTTGTTGGATAGTTGAGCGGTGGTACTCCTAAATTTTCGTTTGATCTGAAATTATAATATTCAATTATTAATTTGTAACAAATATTCATAAAAAAAAATCATTTCTAATTAAATAATATATGATATATATTTAATAAATCTTACAAAAATAATTTTTCCCTACTAAAATCTGAGGCTTATAACAAAAAATCAAGTCGACTCATCAAATCATTGATGAATAACCGTAACTATGTACCAACAGAATAAATGACAACCACGAAAATTTTATTTTGATTAGATTTTATTTTTACGATAATCTAAACTAAAAAACCTGAAATAACATGAGTTTGTTTAGTCAAGTGTCGCCTTGATATTAGTATACTTTTATATGATATTTAAGCTATGTAACTTTGAAAAAGATGAGCATATTTTATTTAGTGATAATAAAACCCAAAAATTTAACTATTAACCCATAGTGGTCACACTTCTTAAAAATAACGTAGTGGTCATACTGGGTCTAGTTGAACCCATGCACGAAAAAAATGGTTGCTACTTGCGTTCTTTTCAATATTTTCACTCGAGCCGTACATGAGAGTAATTCTTAACACTTCCGTTGAATAACTCAATCGTTTTTTAATTTTTTTTTTAATTATTCAATTATAAAAAAAAAAAAAAAATGAGAGAAAGTCAAATTTCAAAAAATTTGACTTTTTTTACTAAAAAAAACTTCATTTTTTAAGATAAATGAAAATGACCTCCGGGCTTCTACTCCAGATATCGCATACTTTAAAAAAAAAAGTGGTACCACAGATACCATTTTGAATGATATCTTCGAAGCAAGAGCAACTCAAAAATTGCCTGGGGTCATCTAGACCCATAATGACTAATACGGGTTAAATCGTCTGATGATGATAATAATAATAGAAGTAATTAATTAAATAAATTACCTAAAACCTGCAGGACTAGTTTCACGTGTAATTAATCTTGAGCCAGGACTGCTGTCTCTTGATCTAAATCCTTCCCTGAGTTTACTATCGTACCTCGTAATACCTGAGTAACCACTGATACTGCAAGCCAGGCCTAAGTAGCTCGGCTTCTTAGTCGTCAGCTGCTCAGCTGTTGGTTCATTCTCACCATTAATAATACTATCACAATTATCAACAATTATTTGTTCTGGTTGCTTATCCAGCGTTTGTTGGTTGTGCTTTTGAATAATTTCACTGCTATTACCACCAGCAGACGTTGTATCCCCGTTACTTGACAGATTTAAGCTGTGTAGCGTTCTTTCCGACACAGAATCGACTGTTGGCTCTGTAAAAAAATATTTCATAAATTTAAAAAATCAATAATAATAATAATAATAATAATAATAATAATAATAAATTATTATTATAATTATAATCATAATTTTAATTAAATCACATTTAATTGCATAGGTATTTTATTTTTATAAGTTAAAGTAGCAGAAAAAAAAAACACACGCATCACAAACGAGTTTTATTCCCAGGAAAATAAAATTCAACGTTGATATAAAATAGGCCAGAGACATAAATCTTGTCTCGCCAAAACGAGAAGTACATCAAGTCTATATTTTAATTTTAAAAAAATAAATAAATTACTATTTAGCTACTGTAAGATCAGATCTACGACTTAAGTGAACAACTGATAAAACATTTTAGAACAGGAATAACTTAAACACTTGTATAAGTTGTACATATTCTTATATTTATCTACTATAGATCTATCCTATAACTATAACTATTATTACAACTACCAATAAAGTTATATATCTAATTATGAATAACAGTACATTAATACGCGTCTAAAGTGTACGTACAAGTTTAGCGATATACTAAGAAAATGTATTAAATATTTTAGTCCCTCGTCTCTTTAGATTATCTTGGACACAAGTCAACAGACGTACGGACAAAAGTCTTGTCCCACAACTAAATGTGCATACCCACGAGCTAATTTGGATCTTAGGTGCAGTCAGAATAGAATAGAAAAGCTCTCTTTATCTTGGTCTTCTTTTTTATCTTCTTTTTCTTTTCTCGATCTCAATTTCTATCTCTATATCTTTTTCTGTCGAGTCTGTGATGTGCAGAAATGCGAACATGAGTTACAAGGGATCAGCGACCGTACGTCGTCGGCCAATATCGTAACCTTGAAGAAGTGCCGCTGTTAATATATTCTAAACTTTAGATAATCATCCAACTACTCTAGATACTTACATTATATTAATAATTACACTACTACTCTACTATAATTAATAATTAAAAATTAATTTCCCTCAACTACCAATAATAGATCCAATAAAAAAGGTGCAGTTTCAGGTTACTAATAATAAACAATTAAAAAGATCAAGGATAATTGTAATAATAATTACTATAAATCCAACCTGATCGGTCGGATGCCGAGCGATCGACGTCGAGGCTGCAGCTACCAATGCTCTCTTGACTGGTCATATTGGGATGCTTAATTGCACCCGTTTCAGCAATAACTCCAGCACTTTCAGGACCGCCACTGGTATTGATGCTGTCCGCGGTGTCAAGTCGTTGATAATGCAACGGCTGGACCGCTAACGACAGTGGCCTGGTGCGACGATTAGGCCTGCCACCGGGACCACCGCCACCACCACTTCCCGGTAATCCTGTCACCGTCACCGTTGTGTCTTTGCCGTTGTCTTCCTCCAGACCCGCCACCTCGCTGTGGCCACCGCGGTTACGCCTTTCCTCTGGTGTTCGATCCTCGTGGACACTGTCGATTCGATTTAGTTTTTTTTTTCATTCTATTTCAATTATATTCAATTCACTTCATATCAATAAAACTCTGTTTTTAATTCAAGTATTTACATACATATAATACATTAATATATGTTAAAATGTGCGTGCATTTGTTAATAATAAGGGTAAGCCGTCTATCTCTGATGCTTGGTATACAATCGTGCAGTGCAGTCGGACATCGATCGCTTAGTTACAAGTGTCATTGTCAATGCACTTTATATTTATTCAACACTAATATATAATATTAATACTAATGCATTTATAATAATAGAGTCTACTTATTATTTTATATGTGCAGTAGCTATTAAAATTATTAGGCGTGTGCATTTAATGTTTACATGCTTATAATTATAAATTATATTTCCTCAATAATTTGTACAAATATTTTTAATTATTAGATTATTTTATGTCTAATTATTTTTAACATTTTTTTCAACCAATAAATTACTATAAAGAAAATTAGAAAAAAAAATCCAATTATGGGAATTTGATGAAATTAAAAAAAAAAATTATTTTTTTGGTAGTAATTTATTTGATTAAAAAAATCCAAAAATTATCAGATCTCTGTTGATTTTGATACCATAAAATCTTTTATAATTTTATAAAAAAAAAAAAACAACAAAAACTCACACTGTTAATTAAACGCAGGGTTTTCTGTAATTGAAGAGCCCTTAATAAGTTATTTAAATATTTAAATAATTATTATTATTTTGTTTTTTTTTTTAATAATAATATCAAAAGCGGGCAGTCTAGGCGCTCAATGATTATCTAACACCCGATTGAAAAATAGTACCTGCACCGCCAATGCTTCCATATGAAGAATCGTGATGGGCCCTTTTTACTCGCCGCAGGGTTTACCGTGTACGTACCACTTTCAATTTTCAACGGCATTATTACTTTCTTCCTCACTGAATAATAACAATAATAATAATAATAATAATAATAATAATAATAACAAATAGAGTACAGACAACCACTGAGATATCAGAAACAAGGTTCATGTGAATTTGAATTTATAATGATAAGTAATAACAATAAAAATAATAATATTAAAGCTGATTTATTATTCAGACTGGCGTAGCTTTAGTTTATATTAGAAGGTGAGCTTGACGACGAAACGACCGACTCATCGGAGTTAACGCCAGCCAAGGAGTGACTGGGAGATACCGCGGGCTTAAACGTACCCATCCTCAGTTTGTCTCTCTTACATTCAAAGCTTACACTTTATCATCGTCAATGTCTTTGTCTTTGTCTTGGTCTCTATCTGTACTTGGTACTACATGTATAAACTTGTGCTTGTACCACCACTATTAGATCTTGGCGCTACACTAGTATAGATCTTAGTCTTGGTCTTCTCCTACCTCATCTTCCACGTAGTTATTTGTTCCCTTCCTGATGCAGAGGAGACGGAGCCAAGTATTTTTGGAACCCCTGCTGGTACGAAAGAAGAAGAAGAATATGAAGAAGAGAAGGAAGAGGACGAGTAGTTGTCGTGGCACGCGCTACTCTTCACCAACTCAAAACAGTTTCGCTGTGACAGATAATACCACTCGCTTTTTTTTTTTTTTTATTTCTAACGTACTTAGTTTTTTTCTTGGACTTTAATATATCTATACATTACTTTTTACTTTATTTTGTTGACATTAATTCTTTTCTTTTATAAACATGTCTTTTATCATGACGATTTAGCATCCACATGAGCGCGAAAAGCCACTACGAGTTAACATAATAACTCTTTATGAGTTTGTTGATAAGTAAAATTGAGAACTCATGTTTCACAGTGGGTATACTCAAGTGTATTGGGAAGAGTCATCAGGTATTAAGTGTCTACACACGTGTCTTTAAAATGTCTGGTCTACATATGTACGTCGGCATCACTTACTATCATATTAACACCAACATTAAGCATATACATTTATTTCTTATTATAACCAAATAAAAGACTTTCTATCTAATCTGAGTGGAGCTTCTTTGTGGCTTTACTTAAAAACTCCTCTCAAAGATTAATTATTATATTTTATTTTATTCAACTCATACTCTAATTTCACCACAAGCTATTCAATTCATTCACCAGCTCAATATTTCAGTAGTTATAAGCAAAGGTTGTATTTTTCAAAAATTAATTATCACTATGGCCATGAGTTATTATATTATTTATTTAACTCCATACAACCGTGCACATGAATCCTTCATCTCATCTTTCTCCAGCTGTAAGCTGTAAGCCAGCATAACTCAGTTGTATTACTCGTATATAGTAGTACAGAGATCGTTAGGCATCTCGAGTGGGTTCTCCGCGTCTTGCATCAAGTGTCGCATTAAACGAACCAGAAACTTGTCGACGACCATAAGATTTTTAAAACTTATAGCCTCTACTTCTCGTAGTCGTCTCTTTTAATTACTCCAACTTGTACATTATCCCTTTTATACATGGTACTTTTATTTTTTTCCATTTATTTCTTCAACGGTCCGTTTTATTCACGTATAAATCAGTCGCAGCTTTAAATAAAATTTGGGGTTAAAGTTAAAAAAAAAAGTTAATTTATTTTCTTTGAGAAATAAAATATCCCGCAATAATAATAATAATAATAATCATCATGTATATTCCGGAAACTTGGGGTAATGTACGTAGCTTTTAAGTAAAGCTTTCCTGTTGGATATTGAATATTTAATGACACCGTCCTTGCCCCTGGCAACGCTCGGTGTTTCATCGATTCTCCCTGCTCGTCGATAATAGTTAAATGACCTCGCGTGATGCGAATCATACATTACTCACATGTACATGCGATATACTTATATGTATAAAATGTATATATGTGTAGAAACATAGACAGACCCTGGCACCAGACAACGGGATGATGGTTTCGTTTAGTTTCATATAATATATACACATATATGTATATATAGAGTCATGACATGACACGACGCGCTGATGATTTGAGCATCAGTGTGTTGTGCAGCAGCAGTAGCAACATTTGAATTCATATAATATAGCTTCCATGCTGTTCTGCATTCCCAGACGGCGACCAGAAAATCTCTTGTTCTCATACTATTCATCCGTTACAAACTATTATTTAAATTTTTTAAAAATCCTTTTTTTTTATCTAACAATTTCTTCCAATACTCTTTATATTTTTCCTTTTTCTTCTTTTTTTTTTCTCTGTAAGTCCATTTCACAGATCAATTAATTGTGCTGACTCAGCATTGAATTTTGAATTGGAAGGTATCTAAAAGAGTTCAGTAGCATTAGAATAAATTTATACAAGTATAAACACAAAAAAAAGTTACCGATAAATTAGTATGTTTTTTTGCTTCCTCTTCCTGTCTGGTTTATAATTACACCGCGGATGATGATCCGGAAAAGTTGGTGATATTCGTCATGCTTACTGTCTTCTTACTATACTCTCCCTCGCTCTTGACTCTCTCCACTCTCATCATCATCGCAAGGGGTAAGTGACACCGCACGAACTTTTGGTCTCTTCTATCTCTATTTATAAACTTTAAATAAACCAATAAGACTTTTGAACCATAGCGTACACTCTTGTTGTAGGCTTTTTCTTAGATCTTCAACTTGTAACTTTGTTCTGTACTTTTTTTTTTATTTATATCTTTTAATATTTATTTTTACTACACTTTCATTTATTTTTCTCTACTCAACTAATGTCATATTATTAATAATACTATTACTAGTTTTATTTATTTTTATTCCTAACGTTTATTTCATTATTCAGCTCATTCATGATTTATTTTCATTATAAAACAGATCTATTCGATACAAGTGCAATCAAGGGGCTTAGGATCTAAAGGGAACAGTTACAGATGTTAAGAAAGTTTTTTTACAAAAACTATTCATGATTATTATAAAAAAAATTCATTGAATTGATTCAACTTCTTAGATTCAAATGTAAGAACTAAGATTAGTGTCTTCATAATTAACTATTCCAGTATTTTTTATGAGCAAGCCTAAGGTTCTTCAATTTAACCATAAAAATTTTGAACTTTTTCTTAAAATATTTTCAACTGAAAGAATATAAAAGTCAATTTTTTTTTCTATCAAAATTTAAAATTAAAATTAATCAATGTGTAATTAATTTTTGGAAGTTTTAATTGCTATTAACATCTGATGATTATGTGAAGGCTGGAGCAGTTTTACCGAATATTCGTAGTTATAATAATTAATTGCAATTAGACTGATCTGTAAGACGTAATTTGGTAAAGATGCTTTTTATTATTATTTTATCAGGGTGGCGATTGACCTGGAAAACCTGGAAATGTCAGGGAATTTGAAATTTCTGGAATAGTCAGTGAAAAGTCAGGGAGCTTTAACTTGGGTCAGGGAAATTTCTAGTTTATTTTAAAAAATAAACTAGAATACTATAGAAATAATAAATTATTTCTATAGCATTCTAAAAATCGTACTGTAGATAATGTTTAATATTAATTGATGTTATTTAATTTCTTAATTTATATTTCTTCTTATTTGTGATCAATAATATTAAAAAAAAACTAAATATATGGATAATTAATAATTAAAAAGAAGTATAACTTCTCAATGATTAATGATAATAATAATATCAATTGTTGTATTTTCAAAAGTTATAAACATATAATCGAAAGAAACTAATCTTTTTTGAATAGTTGAAAATCTGCAAAAAGGTATAACATAATTTATAGTTCCAAATTTTTACTCAATTCTGAATATTAGATATGAATTATAGCATACAAAAATTATTTTTAAAATAATTCGCAATTATAACGAATATTTGATTAACAATTATTTTTTTGTAGGTTTTGGAATTTTATTTTTGGTCAGGGAAAAGTCATGAAAAAGTCAGGGAATTTTGAAATTAGTGTTCAGTCGTCACCCTGTTTATTCATTAAAACTTTACTAACATATAATTGTTTTCATTATTGTAACATTGACAATATAGTAAAAAAGATTTTGCACATAAAAGTTGCTCATGCTTCCCTTTAAAATAATTAATTAATTAATAAAAATTTTTAAATTATATTTTTATGATAAAAATCAATGAAAAAATATGACTTTATTCTTTTATGAACGTGTTTTTTATATTATTTATGGAAACCACCAATAATTTTCTTTTAATCTATTTAAATAATAAATTACAACAGAAAAAATTGTATTTTTCCGTGCATACTTTTCGATCCTAAGCTCCTTATTTATCATGATCATAAAAAAGTGT